AGTGTAATATGCTTGGTCTGGGAAAGGAAAGAGCACAGATAAATGATCATTTTGAAATCTGAAAGAATCATAAACAAATACAATAACACAAATATCTTAGTAGTAGGCTACTGTTTTGAAAATAACTTGACCAAATAAAATACATACCAAATACCATCTTCTTTGATTTAAAGGTTTTTTCTGCATACTTTCTGCACTACTATATAGTAAATATAAGAAAACATACACATTTTCATAAAATAAGACATCTGAATGCCCAAACAAATGAGGATGTAACAGAAAAAAGAGCAAGTAACAAAATGGGACATATTGTGTGTAACCTCTACAATTGGAACAACATATGTTAAATAAAAGTGAACCTGAAAAGGATATTGCATTGTTTTTGTTACTTTCATTGCTATTGTATACATTTCTTAAGCGTAATTTAACTCAACTTCCTGTTTTATTTAGACATGCTTTTATTTTGAAGGCGACATTGCGCTATTAACAGGAAGCTACTGTTCCCAAAAAAACTTGAAGGAGATGAACGGAGATAAAGTAACTACAATAACGGAGATATCTACATTTAAATACGGCGATATCAAAATAAAACCTTTACATAAAGTATCCCCCGAAGAGATACAAGGTTAGTGTTAACTGTAATATTAAAATGTGTCCTGATTCGTTTATACTATTTTATAACTTTGCAATCTATTTGCAGTTCAATTGTTTAATGGTATGCTAAAGTGATGCTAATATGGATAAAGCAGGGGTGTCCAAACTTTTTTCACCGAGGGCCACATACAGAAAAATATGCGATGGGCTGGGCCACTCACTAGATCAGTGTTTCTCAAACGTTTTCATACCATGGACCACCAAACTGATCCCAATCCTGTGTTGTCGGTTTGAACTACCCGTTTTGAAGATTTGATCCAGATTAAAGCTTGGATTGGATTTCCTGATCTGATCGGATATCAAAGTGATCCTAATCCTGTTTTTTGGTTTTGAACTCCCCAAAATCCAAATCTGATTTGATCAGATAGGGATTAAAAGTTTTGAACTCCTGGGCCCTGGATATTATTTTAGAAACTGCTTTCATCGCAATGCGATGTTTCCAGAGAGAACAACTGTGAGGTCCGTGCAGAAAGCAGAGCAGTGTGTATAATATATATCACTCAGTATAACAGGCCTACTCTCTTTATTTGCTTTAGTTTAGTAGATATCTACAAACAAAGAGTCGATATTTTTCTAAAACCATTTAGTGCTTCACATAATAAAATACACAACGGCTGTATCCTGATTATGCTTTAGGAGCTGTAGGTGTGTGTTGTACAGTGTGTAGGTGTGTGTGTGGTACAGTGTGTAGGTGTGTGTTGTACAGTGCGTAGATGCGGCGGACAGACGGGTCTCAGTTGGTTTGGTGTCCTCTGCTTACTTTTAATACTTGTAAATACAACTTTTGGCCCGTAATTTCAAATCCCCATTTCAGCGACCAGAGAGAGGGGGGGGGGGATATATCCAGTCTCTGATTGTGTTACGTTATTATGAGAGTGCTCTCATACATTAAATTGTATATATTTATATAGCCTAAATATATTTGTGTGTGTGTCCGCATCTGTAGCCTGTTATTGTCTCATTATACCGCACTCTCAATGAATTCAAAGTAAATATGTGGGGGAACAATGTTCAGCTGATCTAACAGAGATTATAAAATACAGTGCTATGACAAAACACTCGACAGCTGATGCAGCTGTTGCCACGTAATAATGAATGGACGTCGCTTTAATATGACCGCTCAGAGGAGAAGAGTTCTCATTTCTTTAAACGTCTGCTGCTTCCCCTCCTCTCTCCTCGGTTCCCCTCCTCGGTCCTCCTCTCGCATCTCCTGTGGGCGGGACTAAGTCTCGAGGAGGGGAGTCGAGGAGGGGAAATTTGAGTATTGAGAAGCCTCTAGAGACACACTACAGCAGTGGTTCTCAAACTTTTTCTGTCAGGCCCCCCCTTTGGAGAAAAAAAAAAGTCGGGCCCCCGCAACACAAATAGTCAGGCTCAGTGGCGGCGCCAGAGATTTATTTTGGGGTGCTGTGGGGTAGCTTGACATTTCATAGAGGGGGCTCAAACATTTAGGGTTTCCCATGAATGTACCGGTTGCTACAGTGGAATTTTCTACTGCAACACTCCCCACGCATATACACAATGTACCTGCGACTGTTACAATGAAGGCTCGATAATCAGCTCACGGCATATAGGTGTAAGCAGGGGTAAAGTGCTATTTTTATAGGTGGTGTGTGGACCTCACATAGGGGGGTCCGGGGGCAAGCTCCCCCGGGAAGATTTTTAAATATTGAAGTTAAAAGCAACAATCTGGTACACTTTGAGAGCAAAATGAGGAGATCTATGGACATCTCTCAACACCCATTTGAAACAGAACTGGAAACAGATTTACTATTTCTTTATGGATATTTTACAAATCACTCCCCTTTTAAACTTTATTCTTTTTTTACTGTCATATAGTATTTCATACCTGTTTTTAATGTATTCTCTTATTTTTTTATAACTATAATGATCATATAAAGGTGTGCCTCGGAAATAATTGTTTACATTAATGGTGACCAAAACGTTTGAGACCCACTGAGATAACACTGAGAGAGTCCTTTAGCTCACTGAGTCTCTCAGTCTGACAGGAGAGGACTCTCCTCCACTTTGTTGTTGAAAAAACTCCTTACAGTATATCCGTTAGCGTAGCTCGCTAGCACCAGAAGCTAACAACTACGATCTCCGGTACCGGTGCGCTCTCTCTCTCTCTATGAGTGCATGCACACAAAATGGCTCGTTCCACACACACACACACACACACACACACACACACACACACACACACACACACACACACACACACACACACACACACACACACACACACACACACACAGAGCCGAGCTTTAATGAAACACCGAGAACCAGACGTAATAGTACTGTATTATATTATTTTCAATCAATAATTTTTCAAAATATGATTATTATTTTTTTATCTTTTTTTTAATTTTTAATAACCATTTCCCCCCCTGGTCTCTCGCGCCCCCCCTGTCATGCCTCTGCGCCCCCCTGGGGGGGGGGCGCGCCCCCCACTTTGAGAACCACTGCACTACAGCAACGCCAATGCAGAGCCGATTTACTGCATGCCATGTGAATGTAGCTTAATATTAACACAACTCAAGTGCGTGCAGTAAGTTATGTTGGAGTCAAAACATGGTTAGCCTGGCTTAGCAGAACGTTTGGAGAAAGATGAAAACAGCTAACCTAAGTTACAAATGAGCACTTCTTATCCTCTCTTATCAACATCCCAGGGGCCCTATTATGCTTTCTGGGAGTTTCCTTTTCCTGTAGTGTGTTATATAGGTTTTTGTGCATGTAAGTGGTCTGCAAAGGCTAAAATCTCAAAGTTCCCTCCAGAGGGAGTTTCTCCTCCACACACTGAAACACCTCCATTGGACTCCTTTGTTTACTTCTGTAACATAGTGACATCACTATGTAACACTTTTTTTTCTATTGGCTAGCACTCCAGTACATTGCACGTAATAGGCTAAGTGGCGGGACAACTCTGAGCAGTTGACTACTAACAACAGAGCCGGTCAGCTAACCAATCAGAGCAGACTGGGCTCTGGTTTCAGACAGAGGGTGAAAAGAGGTGCTGCAGCACAAAAAAAAGAGCTTTTTGAACATCAAAGCATGGAGAACCTGAAAATGAGCATAACAATGTGAACAACAACTGAAATATAACAATGGCAGTTTATCGTTTCAGGGTAAGTGTATGAACTACTTTATGCCAAACAACAGGGAGGGGCAGTCAAGTCTTTCCAAATGTTGACTATTCTTGTTTTATATATATATATATATATATATATATATATATTGTATAAATATAATATGTTGGGATTTCTACCCTTAAATATGATCTCTCTTAGTTTCTCGAGACAGAAACATTTCTTGCATTTAATATGTAGTCAAATAAACACTGTTTCTTCACACAGCTGTTAGGCACAGGGTGACTCACCGTAACCCATTAAACAGTGTTCTCGTTGGTGAACACTTCCACATAAAGTCAAGGGTTGAGGAGAACTTAATCTTTTTTAATTTTTTCCCATTTACTCAACCGTGAAGCTGTGTCTCATTCTGCGGTTTATTAATGACCCTAATGTGGTTTAATTTTCTTCAATCCATCATGGTGTCAAAGTCTCTCAAGCTGCGGATATTTAATTTCAGGAAGAACAGAACATTAACATCCTGTTCCTCTCAGCCTCGCTGCTCTGTGGGAGTTTTTTGTCCAGATAATAATCTCTCATTATGTTGCTACAGTCAATTAACATCCATTACTGTCAGACTGCATCTCTGAGTAAATGTTGACACTCGCTAATTCCCAGCAATACGCGGCTCGCCACATTTAACCTGGAGAAAAAAAACGTGCAGAGAGGCGAACTGACTTTTTGGAAGAGTTTCAAACACATGCTCTTTCTCCCTCATACTTTGTTCTTCACACAGTGTTTCACTTTAGCAGACAATTATTTTATTAAACCAAGGGACGAATTAGTATTGAAAATAGTCTTTTTAAATTGGACTTTTGAAAGTGTTTTATCTTTAAACATACAGTTAACCTTATGAGCTGCAGAATATTAAAAAATAAAGGCCATAAATAAACTTTTGATTACATATTTAACCCCTTACTCATTTGAACCCTTCTGTTGGTAAATTCAGTCAAAATAATATTTTAATTTAAATGATCTGCTGAGTAAAAAAAAACTATGTCCCAATAAATTCACTTAAATAAAAATAAAAAATACAAAGAAAATATCATAATGTTCACAATTTGCAATGGTTTTAAAACATGCAAAGTTCAATTAAGGGCCACACACAGCATTTAAGTACAAAATGAAATAAAGGGTGTGTATTTAGATCATATAGCAGTTTGATAATGGTGCGTTTGCTGCTAATAAAATGTAACATCACTCTTGTCTCCTCTGCAGGTTGTGACATGTGTGCAGACAACAGGAACGGCGAGTGTCCGATGCACGGGCCCCTCCACTCTCTTCGGCGCCTCGTCGGCACCAGCAGCAGCACGCCGGCTCCCGTCACAATGCCCGACGTCCCTGATTGGCTCAGAGACCTGCCCAGAGAGGTGACACTTCCTGTTTGTCTGACAAATGCTTTTTACATAGTTTCAAGGTTGCAAAAAACATTGTTTTGCACTGATACATTTTGTGAGCCTGCTTGCATACGGTGTCTTCTTTGGAAAAAAGAAGAAAAATTCACAAAACACACAAACATTATTTGTAAACATATTTACGCAAAGAGATAGTGATGATCCTAGGGATTCATAAAAAAATCTGGTACTGATAGATTACACTTACAGTGATCTATTAAATCTGATTATAACAAATATATATTTGAACTTTGACTTCAAGTGTGAAATTAAAACTTTTTTGTAATATTATGACTTTTTTTCAATATAATGATTCTCTTATTTTATGCTTTTAGACTTTAGGACTGAAGTAGTAGTAAGTTCAATCATTGAATTGAATCAATAACTGAATCACTCATTTCCATTTGAAGGACTCATTCGACCTGTGTGTTGTGTGTGCAGGTGTGTCTGTGCACCAGTACAGTTCCCGGGCTGGGTTATGGGATCTGCGCGTCTCAGAGGATCCCTCAGGGGACCTGGATCGGCCCCTTCCAGGGAGTCCCCCTGCTGCTGGACAAACTGCACTCTGGAGCCGTCAGGAACAGCAGACACCTGTGGGAGGTAGGTCACGTGACTACAGACTGCTGCTGGTTTTACTCTTACATGTTCATTTTATTATTATCTATGAAAGCATTCAATTCTGTTTCATCAAAAAAGGTTGTCAAAGGTATTCAAATATCGGGTCGGTTCAATCCCCTTTATGTCTGGAATTTCATTAAAACATTTAGCAAACATTTGTATTATAAATGTTTTGCACAAATATCTTTAAAGTTTTGAATTTAACTCTGTACTGTTATGTGTATATTGTTTGTGTGTGCATGTGCGTGTGTGTGTGCGTGTGTGTGTGCGTGTGTGTGTGCGTGTGCGTGTGGGTGTGTGTGTGTGCGTGTGCCTGTGGTCAGCGTCATGTCACCTCTCAGTCCATTGATCAGAGGAGATTGTATTTACATACAGTGGCAGGGGAAAGTCAATGTGGCAGTTATAAACAGCGGCATTAGCATTAGTGAGAGAGAGGGGGAGACAGAGAAAAGGTGGGGGGGGGTGAGGCAGTGAAGGATGCACGGAGACAGAGAGATGGATGAGTCCCTTGTGGCCGAGCTGGTAAAGGTCAGTCAGACGTCGGTGGAGCGGACATCAGTCTCTCTGCTGTTGACCGCAGCAGGACTTCAGAAAAATGTGGGTGGGGGGTGCTCGAGGGGCTCTGAGGTCAGAGGTTAGCAAGGGTGGGGCATGCAAAGTAATCACGGGCCAAGTCCAGCAGGAGTGAGCAGCGTGGCATGATTTGTGCTTCCAACAGAGAAAGTGTTGAGTTCACTGACAGCAGGATTTTACCGTTTTGTATATTTGATCAGATGCAGACTCTTGAGAGACTTTAGCGGTCACTGGAGAGTAGCTGACTGGGTTCTGTAACGTGACGTATGATATTGTATTAGACGTGACGTGACGTATGGGAAAAGTTGTTTACCTCCAAAGGCTAGTCACTGATGGGAGCGTTAGCCACTCGCCTCAAATCAGCTTTCATTGGTTATATTTATGTAAGCGCCCGGAGATCCAGATGCATATTTAAAATAATACAAGGTTTAACAAGAAAAGAATGGAAATATTTTAGATAAAACACATTTTACAAAAAGGGCAATTCTTTAAATGGAGGGCATTTTCTCTATATTAAAACTGAGTTCTCAAAAAATGTATTCATACAATTACTTTAATGAAAATATACAATTTTTTTACTTTTTGTAATCTTGTGACTTTTTTCCTCAACATTTAATTGTTGTCCTCAGAAAAAAGGTTTAAACTGATATCTCACTCTTAAATACTATTCCTTAGTATTTTGAAACTTGTATTTTTTTATTTCTTTATTGTTTTTGTTGTCTCGGTTTTCTGTATGAATTCAACTACATTTCCATTCAATTGATATGTATAGATAGATGGAGAGATAGATAGATGGATATACTAGAAAAATCTGAATATGAAGTAAAAATAAGAGTAAAGATGCAAATGAATACAAATCCCCATATTATGGTATTTTGAAGCTGAGTAATTAAGAGTCCTTGTCTGGTTGCTGTGTTAGGACCCAACAGAGTGGAGCTGGGGCCCACTGTGGGTTCTCAAACCGGCCTTTGAAGCCCTCTGCCTCGGAGAACTGCTCATCCGATAACCCGGCTCTAACCATCGGCACATTATCGGCTGCCGGGCTAAAACCGGTCATTAGGTCTATTGATGAAGAAGCCTCACACGCAGATCCCATTAAAACTCAGTGTTTGTTAAACTCGCCTATTGACGCCCACCAAAACGGGAAGAGATATTTGTTCTATAGCCAATCAGGGAGCTTGTGTCATGTTGTCTATGGTGTCCAGGAAGGGCCAGTTTTAATTAAGACACTTGCCGTTACGTCTGCGTGCAACAGGGGAGGATTTTCTGCCGCTGCAGTATTTTACGGCTCGACACATTGATCCCCTGCGAGGCAAGACTCGATGTGTGCGATTATGGAGGAATAATGATTTAACTCTCAGGCCCAGAGCTTCACTGCTTCTCTAGTTAGTCATGAGAAAGAGATCTAAACATATTTTATATCTATCTTATGTTTTGTGATCTTTCACTCTGCACATTTGCAGTTTGTTAATGAATCAGTTAATCAATTGATGGTTAGGCTTCAAATGAAAAGATAAATAATTATATTTCGTACTCTGGCTCCAGTTTCTCTTGTGCGAGGATTTGCTGCTTTTTTCTCTTTTATATCATTGTTCTTTCAACAAAATACCTAATGATATATTGCAGTTTACCTTCGTAAAACAAAATTGAACCAAAGAGAGGAATGTTTTTCATACCCTTGTATAGTTAAACAAAATGGAAAGGAAGGTCGGAAGGAAGTTACTGCAAAAAAAAAAAAAAGGACAAGAAGAAAGATGATATTATTTATTTTTATACTGTGCTTATCTGAATCTGCCAAGTAACCTGAAACTGAGTGAGTTTTTGGGCTAAGTGACGTTTATTTTTTTACTTTCTATACTGACACTAAAGTAAAAATACACAGTCCTCCTCCGGGTCCTGAATTCATTGTTTAACTTAAAACGGGAAAGAGCATAAGATGAAGTCACGTGTCTAAAAGAAAGCATACATTTGCTTTAGCTAAAGAAGAAGAGGATCAATGTTCAGAAAGAACACCGGAATCTAGAGGGAAGGAAAAAGAAGAATGGAGAAAACTAAAAGCAGAGATAATAAGGGAACTTTCCTTTATTATATTAATGATAGCTCGTGACCTTTTTACCTTTCAGTATTTTTATTGTCTTGTAAATTGCAACACGCTTGGATAATGGCCCCAGCTCAGAGGATATTGGATTACAGAATTTACAACTTTTTGATTACCATATTACTTTATTATTAAGGGTGCGTTCACACCTGCCTTGTATAGTCCGGTTGAATCGAACCCTGGTGCGTTTAGCCGCTTGGTGCGGTTCATTTGGGTCGGTGTGAACACAGTCCGAGACCTCTGAAGTGAACTAAACAACCGGACTCTGGTCCGCTAAAATAGGTGGTCTCGGAACGCTTGCTTGCGAACTCTGGAGCGGTTCATTGCTGGTGTGAACGCAGTCTGCACCAAAACATAGGAAGCGTAGTATTTACGTGTCACAAGAACGCGGATGTCTTCAAAATCTTTAGCGAAAGAGTCTTTCAAGACATCCGCGGTTGTTTAGTTAAAGAGTGAAGCAGAATGAAGTGTTGAACAGTGTCGTGTAAAGTAAAAATTCTCCGTCAGCTACATAAAAGTAAGAACACCTGTCGTCGGTGAAACGCCCCTCGTTACTGCAGAACGTCTCTCATTATGTGTTATAATGTTTTTTAACGGACGTTGTCTGATTATATAATCATATGCGCGGGCCGCTAGTGTCTGTTGATCTCCAGATTAACAGCAGCATGAGAATAACCTGCCGAAAGTGCCGATGCTCCATGGCGGAGGCTCCGGTAGAAATTGCCGGGATTTGCGTTTTTACCCCCTTAATGTCTGACCAATGGTTGAACTGCATTTCCGTGCACATGACTTGTGTTTAAAGTTTATAATCCATTTGAGTTTTGCCCGTGTGAACCGCAAACCGAACCTTCTGAGAAATGAAACAATGTAACAAACTGTCGTCTGGTGCGCACCAGAAAACGGACTATTAGGTGTGAATGCACCCTAAATTAACTGCTCCTCACATCTTTGCAACTTCTGTACTGACTGCAAATTATTTGTACTTTCCAATGATTGGTTAGGAAAAATGAAATAACCTTCGCAAACAGAAATGTTCATTCAATCTAATAATGATCTGTTGAATGATGAATGTTTACAGTAAACAGTAAACAGTTACTCTAGCCATGAGATCAATAAAGTATTTAAAGAAATATAGTATTTTATGTGAGTCGTATTAGAAGAAAGTGGATTTACTGCACTTTGGTCAAATTCAACCTCAAACTTGTATTGTTGTTGACTAGGGTTGGGTATGAAGAACCAGCTTCCAACCAGTTGCGTGTCTCCAATAAACTGAGATTCTATAAGACACATATGTCTCAATTTTGTATTGGTTCCAATCTTTTGCATATTTCATATTTCTCCCGATTTAAATATGATGAGCATTTTAGAGTCCATAAAAGTTAACAGTTTGAGTACAAATCTGGAGAGCTAACGTGAAATATTTTGTTACGAAGTATGGTATTATGTTGGTTGGACTTAGTTGTTGTATGATTCAAAAGGAACAGGACTTATAAAAGTCAGCACATTTTTGTTTCGGTAATATTTATCCTTTTTCTGTATTGGAATCTAAACCAAGATTTGATAAGAACTGGTTTTGGATGCCCAATCCTGTTATTGAGTAACATTAAATATTCCCACTTGTCAGATCATACTTGTTGAGGGAAGGGCAAGCTGTTTCCCGAGGATTCAAACTAATGTACTGCCGGGCCAAAACCTTGAGGCCTTTCTGATTGAAAAGTATGTGCAGTAAAAACAGGAGAACCGTTGTGAAGTCACAGCTCTGACCTTGTCCTCGGGGGCTTTTTTACGGGAGTTTTCTTTTGGACAGATCTGAGACAGCGCGAGTTGTCAGCACTGAGTCAGTGAAAACAGCCCGGAACTTCAGAGCGGCAAAGAAAAGAACCTCAGCTACACAGTTTGAGGCAAAATATTTTGTTAGTGTGGGATGTTGATGAGACTCATGAGGATAAAGCAAATTCCAAAACGCCTGTTGGCATCTCGGCTTTTTACATCTTAAAACTCTATTTTCTTTGTCTGTGTCTTGGAACAGAATCACAGCTTTTGACGTCTTGACTTGGCTGTTGGTCTGTCCGTTGGTGTTTGTCTGAATGTCCATCATTGTATTCCCACTGCATTCCCTGCAGAATTCCCATTGACTTTGTGTTTTCAGTGGTTTGTGGTCACACCGTCCAGTAAAGGGTTCTGTAATGTTTTCTTGACTGATGTCATTATTTAATGTTTATGTAACTGTCTACAGTACATTCTGGGTTTTATTAGAGGGTCGTTGACATCATCCGTTTGATTACATAATAACCAATGCTTTTATGTCAAA